TCGAAGAAACTCACAATCCAATTTGAGAGGATGTCTGAGTGAAATGAAAGAAACGTATCATCGAGCCGCCGTATTTGTAAAGAAGGCCCAGGCTGAGCTCTATTGGGCGATTGGCTGCCGCGGCGGGTTGTCGTTCAAAGAATGGCTGCGAGTCCACTTTTCAGTTGAGGAATCCAGAGTTGTTCTGACTCCTTTGCAGTTCTTCTGTTCCACCCCGCTGTTCTCCTTTAGGCAGAGAACTCCCCGCTCTGCCGCTATTCAGCTGAACCTCTATGAATCAGATGGTTTCTTAGAGGAGGAAGCGGCGTGAATGACACCATGTTGGCTCTACAATACAATATTTACTTTGCTCGGCGAGTTAAAAACTGTAGTAAATTACACAGCTGACAGTGCTCCGTGCTTCTGTCTTTAATTTTCTGTTTAACCGTTTGCAGAAATCAATGAGACAGAGGCGTCGCTGCTCACAGAAATAAATTAAATCCAGATTGTGTGAGTGCTGTTGTGTTACTCCGTCTGTGTGTCCATCTCTCCGGCTATCTCTGGTTTTTTTTCCTCCCCTTTCCCGTCTCCCTAACAACTCTTCCTCCCCATCATCACCTCTTCTCTCTAAAAGATGAAACCCATTTTTCAGCCCCCACAAGAGACAAATTACTCTTAATAATCCCTCGTTTCCTGAAGAGGGCCTCTTTCTTTCCAGCTCAGCCAAGAGACCAGAACCTTAATGGATATATGGAATTAGGAGGAAAATGTCGGAGAGGGCTCGATAATGACAGCCAGTGTTCTGGTTTTCATTGTTGACTTGTAAAAGAGAATCCGGCGCTCCGTGGATAAGCTGACTTCTGATTTGGGAGGTGGAAGATGATGGCTGAGGTGGAGTTGAATCAGCCAAACAGATGAGACAGAAATAATATTTCAGAGCCGGCGCAGAGTGCTCTTGATGCAATTATGCGTCATGCTTAGCTTTCAGGCTGTTAAAGCAGCCATGAGAAAGATCCCACATTTCGCTACACGCTTGTGTTTGCGGTGTTTCAGTTTAGCTCCCGAACCCGAGACGCAGGAGAGAAAGATGGATGTGAGACGCCGTGAAAGCTTTCACGTCTCTTTGAAGAACTCGTAATTTCCATCCTTTTCCGAGTCCTCCTCTCCAAGACCTGGAGAAGTTGGAGCTTTCATCTTGGTGACCTATCACAAAGACCCCTTTCAGTGACAGACATCTTAGACAACCAACCAACAATCAATGCCCGGTCAGCAGTTCTGGTAAACAAATCAGGAGACCCAAATGGCTTGTAATAGCAGCCATTTTGATGCTTTTACCTAAGGAGACGGGCAACAGGGAGATGGAGGCAGAGGAAGCAAAACTGGGTGTGTAGGAGCATCTACACAAAGATAAGTGTGTTTGTTTGTGTGCACCGAGGCTTCAGAATAGTCAGAGTGGAGATGTTTTCTACCTGCCTTCAATATCTGGAAGTAACTGAAGAGAGAGATGCTTTCATTTACACCTGATTCCTGAAAACTTCAAGAAAGTGTGAAAAAACAATCACCAACAACTATCAGGAAAATGCTCTTAATTATTGTACCTGCAACATCCATCATCTCTACACCTTCATCCTCACCAGGGTCATGGGGGGCGGAGCCTATCCCAGCTGACTCAGGGTGAAGGCAGGTTCACCTGGACAGGTAACCAGTCTATCACAGGGCTACACTTAGAGACAGACAACCAAGCACACTCACATTCACACCTACGGACAATTTACAATCACCAATTAACCTCAGCATGTTTCTGGACTGTGGGAGGAAGCCGGAGAACCCGGAGAGAACCCACGCTGCACGGGGAGAACATGGAGACTCCACGCAGAAAGAAAGACGCCAACCGGCGACCTTCTAGCTGTGAGGCGACGGTGCTAACCACTGATCCACCTGCAGCCTGCTTTGCCATTTATGGCTACACATAGTAAATGTGCCATGCAGGTTTGTTTAGACGTTTATGAGCAGCTCAGAGGAGGCTTTATTGCAAATACTTCTAGAATGCCATGCCTTCCATGTCTACGTGAGGGTAACGGTGACCCCAGTGCTTCTCTGCCATCCACACCTAAGTTATCACTGTTGACCTTTAGGGGGCGCTTTGATATTTAAATTCCACACACCCTGTGCTGTCACACACCTCGGGAACAATCCCATCGACGTGGTGCTGCAGCTCAATCTGCTACGTCCTATAAATGGTGGACGCATCTTGGGGCTCCACAGGGTTTTCTGTGACCGACTTGGACCTTCTATAGCATGACTAGAACCTTGTGCAGAGTCCGTATGGGTCTGTGGACACGGATGCAGAAAGCATGAAGTGGCCTTTATTTTGCTGAAGACTAAAAGCTGCATGAAGCCCTGACAGGCTGGTCCTGGGTGAGGATCCGATGATACATGATGCAGTGATGATGCATGTTTTTGGGGCAGAACAGGGAGGAAACACGAATCACCGAAGCACTTGTAGTAAACACACACATAGCTGAGAAAGTAATAAATGAGCGGAAAGAATGAGCGTGAAAAGAATGAATCACGCTGGGATCCTTGAGTCTGTTGATTCCAACCCAGTTCAGCACCTGCAGGAGATTTCTGACATTTCAGACGGAGCTCTCCGTTACTATGAACAAAACACCTTCTGAGAGGAACGAACTCCTCCCAGCAGTGGATCTTTAAAGACTTGTTTAATCTGTGCAAAGAAGCAGCTGGAACCGTCGGGGTTGTGGTTTCACAACATGTAAATCAGCCACTTCACGTTTGTTTCATTTCACTTTGTCGCCCGTCACAGAACTGATTCTGTTTTCAGACAGAACAAACTCCACCCAGCCTCCATACGGCGTACAGATTACAGGAGGAAAACTCCTCATAAAGGCTTTTCTTTGTTTTTTAGCTGCGTGTATCCAGGGAACTATTATTTCTTATGAGCAGTAATTTGCAGAAACCTTCAGACGACACATCGATTCGTACAGCTGACAGAACTACACGAGCAGATTTATAAATTAACGATCTCATTCGATCAAACTTTTCATCTTCAGCTAACACCCATGAAATCAGTCTAAATTTTTACCAAACACAACATTTAGATAGAATACAGTGAATCCTAGAATTCCATCCAAAATCTCTCCCACCAGCGCCGCTGCTCCAAACGACGGCTTCAGGGTTGCTATTTTTCCGGCGTGTGAAAAAAGACAGAGGGTGGCGCAGACACCCTGAACAAAATTGGGTTTTGTCACAAGGGCTTTGCTGTTTGAAGGAGGACTATCAGGCCAGATTAGCTCTACCTCAGCGGTAATGGAACCGGGAGCATTTTGAAAAGCATCCTCCGCCTCTCTCTCGGGCCCGAGGTCCTCGGTTTGCTTCAGCGTCGTCGGGGTTGTGAGGGTTCGCCGTTAGAGGCGGTGTTTCATCTGATTAGAAATGACTTGAATCTGTTTCCCACCTTGAACCTGGTCCACGAGAGGCAAGAATCATAACTCTACAGATTTCCTGTGTTTCCAGGCAGAGCAGGTAGCTGGGTGGCACATCGCCCTATTTACCAAAACCTACTTTCATTATTATTTATTTTAAATCTATACAGCTAAAACTGCTTGTAAACAATAATTTGCATCTAGTGAATGAGCAGCTCCCTGAAATGTTGCACCTGACTTTAACGCGGTGCTGAAACACAACCAGACAACGTTGCATCATTTACACTATAAACACCCGACTAGAGGCAGCCCTCCTCCACCCACCGCCCCGGACCTCAGCCACTGCAGGAGAACAATCATTAAATTAACATAAACTTCAGATTATCTGTACCACCAACAAACCAAATAATGAAAGTACACATTAATTACAGGCGTAAACAGGCTGTATTCAAATGAGAACACAAGACGACCCGGAGCAGCAGAGAGGTGATCAATCTCAGAAACAGGAGGATTATTTTAATGGGGAGGTGCTTTGTATTGTAATGACCTGCGTCTGACTTCTTTCAAAGATCTGTTGGAGATGCTGGGATGTTTCATGAGTTGGTGTAAAGACCAGAAAGAGCTTCAGACGGGAAAATAAACACGTTTAAAATGAACTCCTGGAATTGCCTCAAAATACCTTAAAACATAGAAAACTTTATGCAAAACGAACGTCTTTTTCTTCCTTTTTTGGTGATAATAAATTCAATTAAAGGAGAGTTCAGGGACGATCTGAGAAATTTAACCAAATCAATTTTACTCGAGGGGCGACCCGGCATCAATATGCAGCAACGGAAAGAAACCTGAGAAGAACTGGATGTAATCGGTGTGATACCAGCATCGGCGTTTGCTTACTCACCATCTCTCAGTTATTGTTCTCGCTCAGATGTTATTGGTGAAGCGATTCCATCACATCATTTCCTCCCGTCTTCCAAGTGTGCAATTAATAACTGAATCTGACTTCTTATTCTTTTGGATATGACTCAATTCCTGCCTGAGAGGAAGGAGCAATGACGCTGTTGCATGGATGGAAAACAACATTTGAGACCAGAGGAGGCAAAAAAAAAAAGAAAAAAGAAGCTTGAGTCTCACCAGGACTGACACCTGCCAGCACGGCACATATAATGGGCGAGTATTTGTGCATGAAGGTTGATGTGTCTGTGTATTTTAGGGGATGATTGCAACAGCAAATGCGAGTCTGTGTCAACCTGTCAGCCTGCCTGCTCGGCGCGTCCACGCTGGTGAGGCGGCAGTTTGTCATTTTTATAAACCTGCGAGGGTGAAAACCTGCTGTGTGTGTGTGACCAGGAGGCTTGTAGCGACAGGAGGGGGTAAACAAGCTGACCTTTACAGCTTTGATCACCCCGGAGGAAGGAGGTGGGCTGGGGGTGTCAGCAGCAACGAGGAGGAGGAGGAGAAGGAGGGAAATGGAGGGAGAAATTGAGTCTATTCCAGCAGAGGAAATGTGTACCGCTGGGTTTGTCAATATGTGCGCTCATAGATATCTGTATCCGGGCTCATCTGTGGAGGCGTCCTTACCTCAGCCAGCGGTACGATGCCCTGTATGTCGGCGTTGCTGATGTAGAGGTGCGAGACTTTCTCCGTTTGCCTGGAGGCTGTCTGCGTGCCGGCTGGGTATTCAATGTTCCAGTGCAGAGTCTGGGTTGGCACCAGGTTAATCACGTTATCCACCTCAAAGTCCAGCTGCATCACCTCATACGAGGAACTCTCCAATCTGCAAAGACACAGAGAGGTTAGAGATGAGTTTCTGTCCTTAGAGGATGCCTCGCAGGCACCTCGTATACCGACACAATTAAAAGACTCCAGTCATCACGTTAATGCAGTAACACATGCCGTCTGTCTGACCAGATATTCTGAAACAAGCGCCTTTGTGCTCGTGAGTCAGCGTGAATCTCCTGAGCGGAGATCCCTAATTTGCATCCACATCGAGCGTCTACACATGCTGTTAAAAATAATAATCAGGATGACACTAACGGGAGGACGAGGGTCTGCGTGATGGAGGCGGTAATGAAAAGTGCTCATGTTTTAAGCGTTACGTTCAGACAGATGAATGGGTTGAACTTGGCCGTTAACCGGCTCAACAAAACCCGAGACCCCCATCAGAGATAATGGACATCACAGCCGACTCTTTTTAATCCCAATCAGGTTCCATTAAAGGGAGCGTTTGATATTTGATGCTTCTTCCGCACAAATGATTGCATGCTAGCTGTAGAATTCAGATGAACAAGTCAGGAATTATTTCCTTACATCTGTTCTCGTGCAGAAATGTAAATAAAATCTGCAGATAAAACCCTCAGATATTCCAGTAGAACTAAGTAAGTCTGCCCTTGTTTATTCCTGCTCGTTATATCACTTGTTCGTTGGCCTGAAGTCACTGAACCTCATTTACATCTTTATCTCGGTGCTCCTTTACTCGCTAAACTCCCACAATGCTCTCTGCTTGCCCACATAGAAGCGCCCGCCTCCTCTGCTTGCTACAGTATTAAACAGTAAGCGGAACCACCTAGTGGAGCAACCAGGTACTGCAGCTAGTCTACAAATGCATATTAATGAGGATAATGGCTTTAAGAGTCGGCAGATGATTAATAATAAATGACTCGGGTTGGAATGAGAGGAAAATAAAACCCCAGAAACACGATGGCAACATCCCTAATAAAAAATCAATCAGTCAATAAATGACTCTGGTAAAAAGTATTGTTATTGTACGTAAGATTAGACATGATAAAGTTAATTATTTAGTTATTCACTGGATATTCTTTCTGATAACAGACTAATCAATCCAATGAGGACAAAGCATAAAAACATATTTATGCCTTTATTGCATCACCAGCTGAATGCGTGTAGGCTAAAGTGGCTACCTGATGCTATGCTAATGTAGCCTCATGGCTTGTTTAGCGGCATTACGATCACACAGCTCAAAAGGTCTGCAGATATAACGTCACTGACAGGGAGGCACTTTATGCAGCTAATTTAAATCTGTAGCTTTGAGCAGAAAGTCCTCCTGGATAGTTGTGCAGCATCAGTTGCCATGGTGATGTAGCAGGTTAATGGATAGTCACATTAGTGATGCTGAAAACGTTGGCTACGTCGCTAACCTTGCTTCATAGCAAACGCCTCAGTGTTGCTGCTCAGGATGGTTTAAAATCACCTCTAAAGCTTAATTAAACCTGCACATAGGGGCTGATAAACACATAACCACAACAAATGACCGCTGCAGAGGGATGTGCCAGATTATTTTCTTGCCCAGAAACAATGAGGTCCTGTCATCATTTGGAGGCTACAACCAGCGGAGACTCCAGAACATACTTTGGTATTTGTTTGGATTAAAAAAAACAAGATGTAATATGTTAATTAGGGAGCTGCAGAAGTGCTGGAAGGTGGACTGCTGTATCGAGCCAAGTTTACTGCTTCTGCTTTGCTTCCAGTCTTTGTGCTAAGGTAAGTCAATTAACTCCTGGCTGCAGCTTCATATTTAATGGGCATGTATTCAAGACGTATCGATCTGCTCGTCCAAGCTTTAACAAGAACCTGCAAAAGTCTGTTTCCCAAAATGCCAGATTATTCCTTTGAAGTACTCCTGGTCTTTGGACGTGTAATAATCCTAATGTGTGGCCTAAAAATATACAATAAAGAAAACCAGCGTTAACATCAGCAGCAGCAGCAGCAGCATCATGGACTTAAACATTATGACGGCCTGTTAGCTCAGCAGACCTTAACTCTAAGGCGTACAGGTTTACTGCTTCAGGTCCCACTATTCAACGTAAAAATACACATTTAATGGATGCGCTTTGGATAAGTGCCTCGCAGGACACATGAGAAGCTTTCTCAGCTGAAAAAACATCACCCCTAATGAACCGCAGTCTGGTTCGTGTCAGTCGTCGGCCACGATTCAGTTTAAACTTTCTACTTGGAAAACTACTGCAGAATCCTCCCTTCACTTTGCCCCTCTCTATTCTTATCCTGATTCATATGTACAGAAATGTGTCTGTCACTTTGACAGCTTGGATTCCTGCTGCACGCCATGCCCTCACAACTCTGCAGACTGTCATTACCTGCTTTGCTTCTCGGCTTGTCAGACATCGGGATCCTATCTGCTGCTACTGTGAATTACACCTCATTCTATCATTTGTCACCGCGCAAAAAAATCCTTTTGCATCTTCTTCTCCTAGACTTCAGCCATCTGTGTCGTAGCTAGAGTCTGTGCTGCCTCATCCCCGGTAGTGAAGACGGTGGTTAATGAATGAATAGACGACTCAAAGGGAACAGAAACGCTGCGTCTGCGCCGCTTTGACCAACAACGGAGGAGAGGGAACGTCTTAAATGAAACGCCGTCTGAAATACGAGAGCGTGTCGTCTGTGGTCAAGATAGCAGTGAAGGAAACACTCCTACGGTTCACAGCAACACAGAAGGTCTCCAGGGTGGGATTCTGGAGATAAACATTCACATCGACTGTTTCCCTGCATCAGAAAAAGATGATTTAGATGCAGTTTAGTAGCTGAAAAATCTGTGGCTGTATTTCTAAAGCTCTGTTTCCTGTCCTTGTTAGCACCACACACACACACACACACACACACACGGTTAGCGGCTAGCGGAACATGAATTAGAGAGAAAGAGGGCGAGCGGCTGTAAATTGATTTTCGAATCAGCTACACGTGCGCACTCACACTGATATATGGGGGTTGAAGGTCACGACAAAGCCAATTGCTGAGGGTCCGTGATATCTGGTGTGTCTGCCCGTGTGTGTGTGTGTGTGTGTGTGTGTGTGTGTGTGTGTGTGTCCGGGGAGACGGGGTGAGCGATGTGTTGCCCAGATAGATTAAGGAGAGAAAACTGATGGGTGTCAGCTCCCCTTGACCTCGTCCAGATCCCCCATAATGCTTGCTTTTCTTTAATCTGTCTCTGCCCATCTGTCTGCCTTTCTCTGTCTCCCGCCCAACGCGACCCAAACCGTTTGTTAAACGTGTGCAGCAGCAGCAGTATGGAACAGATACACCCACCGGCAAACGACACCACAATATATTCCCGTAATAAGCTGCCTTTTCTGGAAGTTCACGTCCTTCCAACGCGGGTGGAATCACACATTTGTTTTTCTCTTGACTGACTCGTTGGTTCAAACAGACACAAATCAGAACAGAGTCGAACTTTTGCTCCTCTTTAGCAAATCCTTGCTGTGTTTCATCCATTACCGAGTGTTGCTGAGCTTTGGCTTGTTGTGGTTCTGTCAGACCGACAAAGAGAGACAGTCCAATTTCCTAATCTGAAAATTACCAACCCTGACTCGACCAAATGGCTTAAATTGAACTTTAGATCAGCGGGTTAAGCAAGGTTTTTTTAAGGAGTCATTCAGTAGCTCAACTCCTGCATCTCGATCCGGTCTCTCCATCATAAGACGTAGATCACGGTGGGCAATCCTGGTCCTGGAGGGCCACAATCCTGCATGTTGTCAGGATCAGGATGGTTATCAGGCTTCTGCAGAGCTTGATGATGAGCTGATCATTTGAATCAGGTGTGTTGGAAGAAGGAAACATCTAAAACATGCAGGATTGTGGCCTTCCAGGACCAGGATTGCCCACCCCTGGGGTAGATGGACCTCAATCCACCTCCACAAACATCACAAATGGCTTTGGAGTCCAGCACCTGCCGTGTTGGACGTCCACCACGTTACCAGACAAATAAACGCTGTGCATTCATCACAAAGCACCACATCCAGGGTGGAGTTACAGCTAAATGACATACATGAGACGTCCACGTGAGCTTCTGTCTGGCTCAGTACCACACGGGGATATATCGGACCGTTCAGGAGAAACAGCTGTCTCGTCGTCATTTTCACTTGAATATTGATACGAGTGCTATTTACAGTCTGGAGCTGGTTATTACTGCCCCTCCAGTATGACATGAATGCCGTATTAGTTGATCACATCCACGCGGGCCGTATTTCAGCCGCCGCCTCACCTGTCAAGTCCAATCCCATTAGCGCTGAGTGTAAATGAAAGAAGCAATAACCGTCGTCTGTACGATAAAGTGTGATAAATTATTTGCTTAAGGCCACACTGGAGCGTGCAGTGGGCGATATTACATAGAAAGAAAAAAACTTTTTTTTAGTATAAATGAATGAGATTTGTTTTTTAAGATGCTCCGCCATGTCTTACGTTGTGTGCATGTCTGTACCCATCGATAGAACGTTGTGTTTAGACGGACACAGCAGCCGTAGTTCATGTTTTCCAGGAAGAAACCCAAAACAGAGCAGAGGTTCAGACGCACTGTGACACGACGCTCCGTCACTCCGGCTCTCTGTTCCTGTCTCATGCACACAGGCGATGCACAAGCAACACACTTCGTCTCACACACACACACACACACACACACACACACACACGTGTACCAAGAACCACCCGAAAATTATTGAGTGTGTTTGGGTGCAGTGTAATCGCTGGAGCTGAAAAAGCAATGTGTCTGCGGTGACAGGTTCATTCAGGTGTTCGCTCCGTCCCGACCACAAGGCTCCAAAACAATATTACACTGTCCTCTGGTGCATACGTGTACGACGCGGCCGACACGCTCACACATGCACGCGCCACAACATTGTTCTCCAACACTCGAAGGCAACCGAACGAAACCGCTGCAGAACTTCACACTTTCTCACCGCCTTCCAGTGTGTTCTCCTTCAGGCAGCGCTGACCGGCAGCTATTATCCCCGTTAGTGGCACGGCGGT